GTAAATGGGTTTTGAAGGCTGAAGAAGATCACATAAGATTTTTCCATGGTTATTGGATAAAAAGAAAATTTTTTTGTTTCAAAAAAATGTTCTCATGACCTGACTTTCAAAAGACAAGGCTGAATCTCTTGCCTCTTGCTAATTTTCAGATAGAAATAGTTGAATAATGATTTGTCTCCCGTGGATTTAAGGTGGGAGCCTTCCCTGCGCATGACTCCCGATGAAGCGATGAAACACACGTGGATCCAGGAGCCAAAAATCTTCCGGAAAACACAGACCCCAAGGAAGATGAGTGATGGCTCATTCTCTGTACTGGAAAATAGAAGAGAGACTATTCGTAAGCATGTTCCACCTCAGAACTAAGTGCATTTATGTCAGTGTTTGGTGTTTCTTTGTGTTTAGTGTCATCTGCCTGGAAGTGTGGAGATAATGGATGGCTCCTGAAATGGGGTGGGTAAAGGCAGCATTCCTCACTTGTGTAGAGCTGCATGCCTTATGTTTTAGTTCAGATGTCTGCAAGAAGAGTTGGAAGTGCTGAAGAGTCACACGGAAAGCCCTTTTCCCTGCTGAGAGCAAAACACTATCTGACAGCACACCACAGTGCATGTCACTTTCAGAGCAAAAGAATGCAGCAGTGGGGGTTGTAAGATCCCAGAGAAAACTTTCACCTGATTTGCTGGGAATTTGTGTCAGTCCTGTGTTTTACCTGCAGTTAAAAGTCTGCAGTCTTAACCCTCTCATTTTAATGATTTATTGTTGCAGAGAATCTCTGGAAGAATGCAGCTGACAGAGTGAGAAGTGAACTGGCTGACAGACTGACTCCTTTCACAGGCACAGCAGAAAGTGATGTGCAGAACACAAGAAAACATGCTATTTCAGAGAAATATTTGGAAAACCACATGGAAAAGCCTATTAAATATGATCAAGCAGAATATAGTGGTGAAAGAGCTCTTCCAAAAACTTCTCTTTTTTTCCCACCGATTAAGTAACACAGAGCATAAGCTATGATTGGCTCAGTTGCACACCTAGTGTATTTCGTAGGTATTATTTGTACTCAGGAATATAAGCTATATCTGTCTGTTCATGGGCTGTGCACATTGTAAGTATATTTAATGTTCTTTTTACCCTGAAATCATCTAGTCAACCAAAACAGAATTTGAGAACCATTCCTTTTCCTCATCTCCATCTTTGTGATCAGAGATTCTTCACAACCAGCAGCAATAAAATGGAGACTGTAGAGGTGGAGAGTGGCTTATTCTTGGTGTTTTAACAGACTTTGGAATTTTATATTTTCCTGGATCTAAAAGAACAGATGTGTTGACTGAAGAATCTGAATCCTTTTACTTACCGCAGCATAAGACAGGAATAATTCATGGATAAGATTACGGAATTTACTTATGTATAAAACAAATAGGAGAAATCAAACCCAGCATCCTCATTTTCCTCCTGCTCCATCTTCCTCTTTTTATAGTGAAGCTGCTAGATGAAAACCATTGTCACACCTTCCTAGTAGATTTAGAAATGTAAATTTTGCTCTTTAGCTCTCTCAAAACAACAGAGCAGAGTGGTATTCTGGGCCCATTTCTGCAGGGACTCAACAGAAAGAATGGATTAAAGCAAGCTGATTTGATTTGGGAAAATTGTCCTTCGTAACAAGTTTAACTTGATACTCTGAAAAAAGCCCAACTAAAACCAAACTAATTTCTATGATCCCTATGGCTTATGTGCTTAATGTGTTTAATTTAGGTATTTCACTCTTCAAGCAACAGACTATTTTTTCACTGCATTTGTAAAGCACCCACCTCATTACACCTCTTGCATTTACTGGAGCTTATAGCTAGAAATTCGGTTGAAAAGGGATAATGAGAAAACTATCCTACCAAAAGCAGCTGCTACTTTAGTAGTACACTCCAGCAGCCCCCAGGGAAAGAGGTGTTCAGAGGTGCTTAGAGTCACCATAGCAGCAAACTCCCAAAGGCTCTTTTGCAAAAGGAAAGGAAAGGAAGGATATAGTCCTCAAACAGTTCCAGTGTTACAGGAGTAAACAAGCCACCTGAGAGGTACAGCTGAATCATGTAATGGTAGAAGTCACCTCAGGGAAAATGGACTGCTGTCATCATCCCCTCAGCTTCAGGCAAATCCTGGGACTCCTGAAGAAACACCTGGAAAATGAGTGACCCAAAAAGGGCACTAGCCCATTATTGAGGGTAATTGATTGAAGAATTACAAGGATATTTTGGCAGACAAATACCATCCTGCTGTAATAATGACATTCCTGACAAGAAGGCCAGCTTTCAATTACAGAATTATTTGTACCTCTGGTGTCAGAGAGACTCCTTTGCATCTGAACCCTCGCGGAAACCATAAATGCTCCTATTCCCATTCTTCAGCAGAATGATGTACTGGGAAAAGTGAGTTCTGTTCTGCACCATGTTATGGCACAGCACAGGCAGGGTGGGTGCACTGCAGAGTGTGGACAGAGCCCTTACCACATTTCTCAGACCCTTAGAACAAGAATTTACTGTTTGGTGCAGTTGCTGCTCATTCTTCATCTGCTGTGTCACATTCCTTTCACTGCTTAGGCTGCCCCAAGTTACAATATCTAATTCTCACAACTGTGCACTTGGGTTTTTGTCTGCTCTACCTCAGGGGTAAAGTTTGGGCTTAATTATATTGAGGTACCCTTCACCCCTGGAATTGATGTCACCCTAATGAAGGTGTAAATGGACTTCTGTGCTGGAGCTGTGTTTTCTTCACAATTAGTATATTTCAGTAGCTCTTTGTAGTAAGCATCATCATATTTTTTCTCATGGCGTATGTTGATGCGTTTTCCAAGGCATTCGGTGTTGAGGGAAAAGTGGCAAAGTCATCTAAGCCTATAATTCAGTTTGATCATCTTTCTGTATAGAAGGGAGATGGATGGTATTTCACTGCTGCTATGAATTTGCTGTCTTCCCTTCCTTGCTGACCTGCTGTTCTCTTTTAATTCCTGCAGCCTTCATGGTGATCTCCATCTTCAAAATCTTTCCTAATAAGGGCTCTTGTGGATAGCTACTGGATTTTTTCAGAGATGACAGAAATAAATAGAAATTACTTGGCAGAAATATCTAGCCCTGAGATATCATCACTGCTTTCACATTCCTCTGCAGAAACAAGTAGATCCATCAGACACAGAGGTAGCATCCTCATCCCTCTGCCGTTTGAAAGGAGATAATGAGAAAATCCTCTGTGTAAGAGAACAACCTACAAAATGCTGAGAATAATCTTCTGACTCATGTTCAGCTGGAGCCACCCTCAGACTTTTCATTATGCAGTCTCACAGAGAAAAAAACACTGATAATTTGCTTTCTTGAAAAGCCCAATCCATACATCATGTTTTGTTTCTCTATGTATTGTCATTTTTTAACCCCATTTTCCAAGAAAATGAGGTAGTTGCTTTCTTGTCCATCTCTGGAGATTGGCCTGTCTGTCTGGTTTAGTGGAAGGTGTCCCTGCCATGGCAGGAGGGTTGCAATGAGATGATCTTTAAGGTCCCCTCCAACACAAACCATTCTGTCATCTTATGATTCTATCTTCCAGTTGCTGGACATTTTTACAGCCCATTTTTTAAGTGATTTGGGGTGTGAGGCTGAGAGGGGTATCACAGTACGGAGAAGTTCTAGGAATCCAACTGAGTTGAAGGGAAGGTGCAGCAGTGGGTATTTATAGGATGTCAGATCTTCAGATAACTGAGCTGTGAGAATACAAAGGCTCAGTGACCAAGCTGTTAGATTACTTCTGTCTCTGAAACCTCATAACAAAACTGTTTTGTTGTCTGTAAATAACAGCCTTTCTGGAATTGAATGCTTTCTGCATAATTGCACTTCACCACTGCTCCTGGGAGGGTATAACTGCAATACATCAAATGCACAGTCATTGCAGAGTACACATTGCTGGCCTTCAAAAGCAGAGACTCTCCTGATAGCTCCTGATCTACTGTGCAAGGATTTACCAGCAGGCATCAATTTCTGCAGCTCTGGGTGTGCCTGTGGCCTCCTGTTTGCTATGTGAGATGAGTAAAGCAAATTTATCAGCCTGGGAACTGTTAATCTTCAACCCTCTTTGTGCTTCCAGTGCTCTGAGCTTCCAGGTGACAAGTCTGTCCAGGAAATGGCTATGTAGGCACTGTTTATATTTATTCCAAAATGCCTTTAGCCATCATCTGGGATGCCCCTGCCTTTAGCAATATTTTTGGCACCTCTTTAAAGCTTGAAAAGGGAAAGGGGAAAAAAGAACTGCAGTCCTACAATTCCCCATTCCATAAATATCCCTCACATGCTGATGTGTCCCTGCTAACGCACTTTGCAAATTACTTATTAAAAGGAGAATCTCCACCTCTCTATCCTCAGGTTTTTTTGGCATCCAGGATTTTCAGCCTGTGGAGAAGGAAAGGGTTTTTCACAGCTGCAGTGGGACAACTCCTAGAACAGGAGGATTTGTGCAACACAGCTGTGGATAAACAAGCCCAGAGCATTGAAAGAGCTGGGAAATTACATTAAGTAAAGGTGAAGTCCTTTCACAAGGCAGCTTTTGAAAAAGTCTCCCTTATGCCACCTCTTTTCCTTCAGGATTGCACGTGTTACTCAACAAGGAGCTTTACATCTCCTGTGCTCCTTCCATATGTTCCTTAAGATTTGGAAGAAGTAGCCCTGCAGATGTGTGGCAAAAGGTGAGTCAGCTTGTCACCATCTTCCACAAGGGCTATAGCTTTTTGAAATAAAGAGAATCTGGGATG